GGGGGGGGGGGGGGGGGGAGTACCAGGTGGTTGACACCCGTTCTCCACCAGGACGCCAGTTCGCACGAACACACGGCATAGGGGATAGGGGATCGGGGGGGTCCAACTTGTTGCTCGCCTTGTCATCCCCATCACTTGACATATTACGTTGCGCCATGATGCTGTCGCGACGGAGAACTGCTTGCTGCTGTCGCTCCTATTTAGGTCAAAGTGTTCTTCTGTTGTGTTGGCCGGGGTTCCGAGGGGATGTACATTTAGGACAACACCCGTAACAACTTTCGTGTGGTAGATTCACCTGAGGGGCGGTCGCGTGGGGCACACCCAACCAAGGCCACTACTGTCTCTGCCTCATTACCCCCCCTGTGTCCCATCACACCTGTGATTCGCCGTACGAATACACGTTCGCTGAGAACAGACTAAAACCTTATCACAGATTCGCGGTACAAACAAATGTTGTGAGTCGCTGGGATCAGACCAAGACAGCGATAGCAAACACAACACGCCAACACGCCACACGACGACACGACACGACGAGCACCTACTTCTTTGTCCAGGTGCATCCGTTCTTGCAGCCACTGCAACTTCGGCTCCAGGTTGTCTTCCACGCTGTAGCTTTTAAAGGCAGAAACAAATCGAGAGCCGAGCAAAAAGGCGGAGGACAGCGGCGGCAGGGGGGCAGGAATGTCGAGTCAATCGAAGCTTACCCGTGCAAGAACACCACAAAATAGTGGCCCTGCCGGCTAGTCCTGATCACAGCCACAAGCCCAGAAAACATTCAGGCAGGGCACGGGCGCAAACACCGGCGCCTCCCGAATAATTGCAGAACAGCCTCGATACAACCCTACTCGATCGGCAGCTCTCTCGTGCCAAATCAGCTAGCCAGCAAAAGCTTTCAGGCTCAGCCAGGACATAACAATTTCAAGACTAAAAAACACGACAGGGACTCACCCGCCGCCCGTCGTCTCACCTCAGGGGGAGGGGGGTCGGGCGAGACCAAGCAGCGTCTTCCAACAGAAAGTGTCGACCTCGTCCAATAAAAAAACAAGCATCGTTGTCGAATGTTTCAAACCTCAAACACCAGCCAACCAGCCAGCCGAAAACAACGGCACCGAAACACTACCTGAAATTCTTTGATCACCGTCCGAACTTAGTCGAAAATTATCTGGAAATTATCCGAACATTATCCGAACACTATCCAAACACCATCCTAACTGGACCGCAATCCCCACCTGAGGACGTTCGGGCAAGCTCGGACGACGATGGCGATGTCGGCCTCCTCGAGCCCCAGCCCTTCCCCCAGCCACTCCAGCTTTGGCCGCAGGGAGTTCTCGATGCTGGACCCGAAGAGGGACGGGTTCAGCTTCAGAACCTTCGACACCGCCGCGCGGTCCACATCAAGCCGCTGCTCCAACCACGCGGCCTGTTCGGCGGCAAGCAGCGTTTCGGCCACCAGGACAAAGAGAGAGAAGCGAAGATGCCTCATTTAACGTCGGCGTTATGCAGCAACCAAGATGGGTCTGCGCGGCGGGCCCCGTGGCGTGCCGACGATGCACGCCTCGGGACACACGGGATGCACTTTGTTGTATCTGTTGTTGCGTTCTACAGTAGAGCGCGAAGGGATAGACGGGTGCCAAAAACACGAACTAGCCCGGCAATGATTTCGGTGAGGAGTGTGACAAACAAGAGGTTTCTTTCGTGCAGTCCACCCGGAGGAAATGAAAAAGGCGTTTAAGAAGAAACGACAAATGTGTTGGTGTCGTACATAGCTGACTAGTCATCCGCTCGCAAGGACGTCATCTGTCTGTCTGAGGGTGACCCTAACATATGTAGTCCATCACACTACCGCCGAGAAAAAGAAAACAACTAAAAAAAAATCTGGAGCAAATCTTCAAGACAGCAGCGATACGATCGGCCGCGTCAAACAGCTAGCGGGTAGTATTGTCGAATACATGCGGGAGTTGCGGGAGCAGTTTAGACTCGCCAAAGGCTGGGATGAGAACGGGAAATCTCTTCAACTGGCCCCAAGCCTGAGGGAACGGAGGGGGAGGGGGATGTACTCATAGTCGTGCATGCCGTAGTCGTTAGACCATTGACCTCGCATACCTACAAGCCGGGACGGAGCACGCTGGGTTCGCACCGGACCAGGCTCTCACATCACCACGCGTGAAGTGCCGTGAGATATTCGGCGAGTCGCATGAAGGGTGCGCTGCATCCTGCTACGTGCGTTCGGCATCTTGTGCTTACTTCCTTGCATACGGATGACAGCTGCGTACGACTCAATCTATTTTCTGGTGCTTTCACTTCCAGAGACAGTTGTAAGCACTGTTGTTGTTGTTGTTGTTGTTGTTGTTGTTGTTGTTGTTGTTGTTGTTTCTCACATTAGCTCTATAGTCCACAAAAAATGGGAAGCCCGTGGTCCCAAAACCCGGCACATACGACGCCGCGAGAAAACAACAAAACAAAAATAGGGTGCAAACCACTCGGAAAAAGAAAACAAAATGATAGAAAGAAAAGAACAGGTATCGCACCGACCGTTCGAGAAAAGAGTCCTCGGAAACCGATCAAAATAAAACAAAACAAAAATAAAGGAGGACGCTTCCCATACCCGCCCAAAGAAAAAATCAAAGGGTAACGTACCAGCACCAGGCACCAGGCACCAGGGCATGGGAGTAACGGAGCAAACAGGGCAAAGAGGCGGCAGATGGGCAGACAGCCAGACGTAGAAAAAACAAAGGCAACAGCAAAGCGAGATCAAGGTACCCAACACAGCAGAG